GAATTTCAACAGAGTGCTCATTTGCGACTCCGAAATTTTTTGATTTAGCTTTCATGTGTGCCCGAAACTCACTGCGGACGCATGAATTTTTGGCTGATCAGAACATTTCGATGATTTCTGCACATATCAAGCAATAAAGCAATGAGTACTCTTAACACCAATGTCCACTGGATAGAACTGCGCAAAACGCATGATCGCACTAGCTACGCTGATGCGTGCCATTATTTATTTGTTTAGAAAACCGGAAAAAGGTGAAAACCTCGAACAGAAGCCTGTGGCTCACTTCTTTTGCATTAAGTACAGAGTCCCATGCATTATTAGAGATAATTCAGTATCGCATTGAGTTCTCGTGGAAAAAGATCATCATCGCTAGAAGTTTGGTCGAAGTGTATGTTAAATGGACTGGACTGTTTTTAAATAACGGCGCTGCGCTAACCCATTTTCGATGATTGTAAAAGGTACGGCGTCACCCTCTCCGCCAACTCTTGTTGCTGTGCATTCGGTTATCATCATATTATGCGGCCCAGCCTGCTCTGATGTCACGACCACTTGGATTGGGTCGCCAATTGAAGCCTTCTCCAGTGGCTGATCATCAGCGCCTAAGAACGATAGCGTTGCTGTTACCGGAGGCGGTGTGCCCATGGCAAGAACACGAGTATTTGCTTCCCTAAAAATAATTGAATTTGAAAATATGAAGTCGTAGATTTTACTAACGTTCGCTTCAAAGTCACTTGTGTCGGTGGAGTATCTAAGGAAGCAGGAATGGTGAAGGAAAATTCTGTAGGAAGGACGCGAACGCTGGACACGAACACCCCAAATTCAGGTGCGAAATTTTACATCTGCTCCTAACAGGTCATTTTTTCCAGTAAAACATGGGACAATACGCAGCATCCTTGATGTGTGATATTCATGTTGACGAGGAGGAGGCTATTAGCCGTACAGTCAGCACGATCAGGAAAAAATACCACAGTATGGGTGAAAGACGCGGAAACATCGGTAAAACTTAACTGAGTATTAACAAGAATTAGCCCTGAAAATGAGCTCGCAAATTCTATTCCTCGAGTATAGTACTTTTCCCTTTGCTACGTCTAAAAAATGAAACTCTAAAAATTTGTCCATGCTCTCATCGTGGGCAATAGCAGAAATGAGGTATAAGAGGTTATGCTGAACGTTCATCAAACTTAAGCAGTTAGTTTTGACATGAGCGGTCTTAGTCGGCGATTTCAAAATTTGGATAAAAGAACACTAGTGAAAGAACACTGAAGACACTAGTCGATAAGTAGTAAATAACAAGGGTAAATACTGGCAGCAGTGATAGCGCAAGGATTTGGTGGGTATAGTTAGTTCTGGATGAAGCAAGACTAAAACAAATTTGTACTGCACGGAAACAGAAAGAAATAGATTACGCCTTGGTTGTTTCAAAATGCGTTCTCGTGCAATTCTCCGAATTTTTATGCGTTTTTGCTTACATGCAAATGCAAAAACGCATATTGGGACGACCCCGATGTGTGTGTATGTGCGTCCGTCCGGATATTTCAACTCGGCATCCAAGCAAGCTCCGGTGCCAAAATTTTGCCGGTGGTTCTCCCGGCTAAGTGTCACCCCAGGACCGCGGCACCAACCCTCAAGCAAGTCTGGGCCCCGCGTACGAGGAGGTGAAAGTTTTGGCGGGAAAATCGCTAACTCGAGAACCAGAAAAGCTAGAAAGCTGAAGTTTTGAGGTTATATCCCCGTCTGAATAGAACTCAAAGATTTCGAATTCAGCCCCCAGGTGTAAGTGGTATCCGCGTATGGCCCCATGAGGGTTCCTGGTACGAAAATCGCTAAATTGGGAACCAGAAAAGCTGTGAGGCTGGAATTTTCAGGTAATTTTCCCAGCAAATGTACGGCTTAAACTGATCAAACTCAGTCCTGCCAGGCGTGCGTAGTTGTCACGTACGGCTCCGTGAAAATTTTTGGCAGGAAAATTGATAACTCAAGAAGAAAATTTGGAAAGCTGAAATTTTAACGTAATGTTCCCTGTCCAAATACCACGTAGACAATTAACTTCACAGACTTCGAGGACCAGTATATCTCATATTTCTAGCTACTGGGTTTCCGAGCGATCTCATTACAGCACGAAATATTGCAAAAGCGCGTGATCGCACGGGCCGGCCCGGTGCGCGTCGCCAATTATTTTCAAGTGAACGCCATATGTTGAGATGGAAAAGTTCATGTTTCTGCCGCTGAAGAACGAGCACTTCACACAAGAAGTCAGCACAAATTAGTTCAGAAAGATCAGTAATAATTTCGGAGCTATTTTGACATTCAAATATTATTTCTGGTGAGTGGCGAACGGAACACTGCCGTAGCTGAAAAAAACCACTAGGAAGTTGTACGCTTCAGCTGTTCGCTGAAGAACGTATTCTTCAGTAAATGGCATTTGCGTGGCAAAAAATACTGCTCTACAGAAACTTTAGAAGAGGATCTGGGTAAGAACCAAATACGAGCAGTTCCGAATGCTATGCTAGAACATGTAATGTTTGCAGTGGTTGAGTAACTGCAACTCGAGAAAATTTTCTGCCCTAAAGTGATGAACCAAGCGATTCTGGGGACGATTTTCATTTCGTGATTCATTAAAACAACTGTTCTACCAGAACTAATCATTTTTCTCGCCAAATGATTACCATGTGCTAAATTTTGATCCTAAAACATTTGCAATACCCCAACTTGGTACTACTTTAAAGTTCGGAAAAATTAAGCCTACCCGGCGTCATAAATGGTGGTAACGACGACTGTGCCCTCCCGCATCATCTTGTCCATAGAGATATCACAAGATACACGATAGAAACGATCCCATTCTGTTGTAACCTGATGTGGAAGCACACCATCCAGCGATACAACCACCAATGCTTCCAGTTTGCCATCCTGAATTTGAAGATATTAAACTATTTCTTATATGAATCTCGGATTTTGAAAGAACTCTTATTTGTGTTTCATAGTGTGCCAATGTACCATAAGTTCTATGGTAGAGATGTGAGCTGATGCTAAACGGTAACGACGGCTTAGCCTTGCAAGTTCATCATGGTGATAACATTCAGAAACATTTGTAATTTAAAATGCGTAGAAAATCAAAGACTGCATAAAGCTGTGAGCATGTTTCGATCAATTGCCGATTAGTTCAGATTTATTATTTGACATATTTGAATAGCAACTTCGAATCTCGCTACACTTTGCACGATTTACTTCAAAGCAACAACGCAGTGTTTATTGTGATAAGAGTGGAAGGCACACTTGCAATAACTCAGGGGAGCATTTATCAAAACTAAATTTGTCTTGGTTGAAAAACGAAGCAAAAAAGGAGAAAAAAATGGAGCGATAGAAAACAAAGGATCAAATGCAGATCGCGTAAGTCCAATAAAAAAAAAAATATTTGCAAAATACCTTGATCACGGTTCCACAATCGCCAGAAACAGTAGGTGGCGGAAAATTGATGGATATTTGCTTAGCATTCTCCACAACCTGTGAGCATGTACCGAATCGTTCTGCAGCATAGATTGCGCCCGTGTATGGCTCTTTCGTGTTTACGATGAAGCGTATGCCTTCGTTGGTGCACAACGCCATACCACCAAACTGCGATTCTAAAAAATTTTGCAGTAATTATTTCTGATTCTGCCCCTAAAACGGAGTTTGCAAATCAGAATCCTAGTGCTGAGTTCAAAAAATTGCTGACTGAACTGCTTCTACTAGCTGAATGTGATTTCGGCGCCAAAAAACTATCCTTCCGCTTCTTTCGCTCACTATTCCTGTCTCGCCGTGGTGATCCGCAAGTCTTGGTTTTTTTTTTTTTTTTTCTTGCCCTACTTTCTACTGCCAGGCGTTGAAGTTTTCTAGGACTAACACTGATCTGACAGTAAAACCTGCCGCAGTTAAACTCGTAGTAATCGGTGGATGGATTTGATTTGATTTGCGCGTCTGCTCGTCCAGCCGAAAACACATAGCACGTCATCTGAGTGCGGTCATAGTTAATACTCTTGCAGTTGAGATTCTGGAAGCACAGCGATATGCAGTCGGACAAAGTCACGCCTTGAGCTGATGCAACTGGTTGGCCTTCAATCTGACTGCCGATGAAGCGCTCAAATGCTGCCTGTTGTCGACACGTCGAAGAACTGAGATCAGCTGCAATTTACTGTTTTAAAATTGACTTTCCGTTGCCGTCCTAAATTTGTGCTGACTAAGAAATTTAAATATGCAAGCTATTTGGAGAAAACTGTCATCTTCGGAGACAGCAACGAGTGGCCAGGCAAGGAATGCTGTGATGCACTTGTTGTTTGATAGAATTTTAATAGAAGAGCTTCGCTAATTTTAATAAAAGAGCTTACAATCCACGTATGCATTGACGTCTACTTGAAATTCAACATTAAAATCATGTAAATTTAGGGTACCAAGATTTTACTTGTCTTTAGCCAGTTGTCCAAGTCCAGAACTCGCAAACAGCAAGTATGAATTCAAGAGCTGGGGCGATAATTTGCGCTGGAATTTTTAAAAATCCCTTTATATTCGCTGAAGAAATTATCAGTGTTTAGTGAGAAGCCGTTATGGTCCGTTATGTCAGTTCCAAACTTAAAGAAGAAGCGGGAGTTTGTCTTTAAGTGGAAATTTCTAGGGATTTACAATCTCGAGATGTCAAAGCTACGACCAAAGTCTTCGCCCTAACAATGCATAAGTATGATACCACTTAGGTGTATTTTTTTATTAGACATAATCATTTCAGTCTCATTTTCCTCTCTACCCGTTCCATACCAAACCAGAATTAAGTGGTCTTTCAAATAGCACATACTGATTAGTGCATTGTGGCAAAATTTCGAACTGTTAGAAGTTTTTAAGATACCACCCTGGCCGCCTAAAGAGGACCGCTAGAAAGGATGCTTGTTTCAGACAAGGCTATCAAACAGAAATTTTTTTCATTTCTCCAGCTCGCCTGGTTCTCGAAATTGCATTCCCGCCAAAAAAATCTTTCACTTATCCATACATGAGAACTAGAAAGACGTGAACATTCATTTTAAGT